AAGCCACAACTGTGTCTAGAAAAGAGAGGCTGACAGATACACAGCTCAGACTTCTCTATCTCATGTTGGTTTATCAGATGCTGCTGTATTTTTGAGCCAGTGGAACCCCTTATTATCATCAATTAACTAAGCATTACCCACTTCCTCCATCCATTGGTATTTATTTATTTATGAACTAATGGTTGATCTAAGGTCTTTTTTTTTTTTCAGTCGTGGGGCTTGAACTCTGGACCTAGGTGCTGTTCCCTGCGCTCTTTAGCACAAGGCTAGTGCTCTACCACTTCAGCCACAGTACCACTTCTGGTTTTCTGGTGGCTAATTGGAGATAAACGTCTCACGGATGTTCCTGCTCAGGCTGGCTTTGAACCATGATCCTCAGATCTCAGCCTCTTAAGTAGCTAGGATTACAGGAGTGAGCCACTAGCATAGGGCTGATCCAGGGTCTTATATGCTGACTGCTTTTGTCATTGAACTGTTTTCTGATCTCCATTCTTAACCTGGTTGCTTCAAAGCTTACTTTCTTCTAGTTTTTTTGAGTTTCAAAATAACATTGTCTTACTTAACTCTTCTGACCCTTGTTTTTCCAGCTACTAAGTACAGATAATAATAGGGCTGTGGGAAGGATTAAATAAGTTAATACATGGAGTGTACGGCCTGGAACATGGAAAGTACTCAGTAGGTGCTAGCTTTTTTAGTGGAAATAATTGAAAGTGCATGGCAGTGTGTCTATACATCTTTTCTATTTAAGAAAAATAATCACAGGTCTTTCTGCAGCGCTTCCTGGTTGAGTATTTCTTTGCTTCTGGGAGGAAACATGGCAGATTTCTATAGAAAAAGTAACAAGGTCTCTGGCTTCTGACTTGGCATTAAGAGAAGACAGTACTCAGGTCACAGGCTCTCCCGATTTTTATGAATTTGCTTCTTCAGCTGTTGGATTCAATACTGCATCATCATCACCCATGTAGCCAATCAAAACTGAGGAATGGATGAATAAACAAACTAGTAACGCTACCCAAAGTTAGCTATATTTTTCTCTTTTTTTCCCCTTATTTTTTGACTGTACCAGGGTTTGAACTCATGCTTGCTAGGCTGGCAGTCTACCACTGAGCCATGCATCCATCCCTGCTTTTTGCTCATTATTTTGGAGATGGGGGGTCTAGCAAACCTGAACTGGCCTCACACTTTGATCCTCTAGGTGTCAGCCTCCTGAGCATCTAGGATTACAAGCATCAACCACCAGCACCTAGCCAAAGTCAGCTATCTTAAGGAGGCAGAGGAGAGCATTTCTTTCCGTCAGTGATTGTCTACAAAGATTTCCACCTTTCAAAAGGATCATTCTGAGAGTGTCACAAAGAACACCCTATTAAGAGTATCTGCCTCCTGAAAATGAATCCTCCTTCTTTGTATTCAGGGTGTTTTCCTGTTAATAATAGCCTCCGACTCTGACCCCACGTTGTTTCGCAGACTCCCTGCAAGTCAAAGCTACTCATTGTTTGGGAACTCTTTTCCTCCCGTTCCTAAATACATGCCTTTCCCAATGGGGTCACAGTAATGCTATTCCTCCTAAGGCTTCACTAAGGACAGGTCTGAGCAATGTCTTTGTTTCCTTCTCTTCCCCATCTTGTTTAGTTAGGTTGAAATGGCTTTCAATGACATTCTACAAGCATTTGTCCTGAACTCACTCTGAACAAAGTGCAAGGTTGGTTCACAGGCAGCATAAAGATGACTAGGCCATGATCTCTGGGCTTGTATTTGTTAATAAGTATAACTGGTAAAGTGTGTCCAAATCTCTCTTCCACCTCTGCAGATGGTAGGTTTATCTTAATTTGTGTGCTTAGAATCCAGTTAAAATTGGACGTGAGAATATTCAACCACAGAAGTCTCTCAGAAAACTTCTCAATCCCTCCAGCTATGCAATGTTCTCCTCCTATTTTATATGTCTTAATGCATTTTTTACATTCTGTTATATTTATTCATGTACAGCAGTCCAGCAAAGAAGCAGGCAAAGGGCAAGGTGCCTGCATCTAGAATTGGAAGATAATGAGTGTCTACTTCATAGAATGGATGAGGAAATCAGTTAGCATATGAACATGCGTTGAGAACTATTATCTATATGATAATGTGCTAATTTCATTATCCCTTTTGTGATCTCTCAAAGGACCTCACCCATGAGAAAAACTCTACTAATATTAATTAAATGAATAAATCATACCAGCCACCAGCAGCAGCATATTCTTCTTCTCACTGACATGTAGCGTGGGCAAGGTTCATCTGTATGGAAGGCCTCCTCAGGTTCAGGGAAAAGGGTTTGCAGGGGTTAGGCAGAATCAAAGGGCCAGCTTGTGAGTACTGCTCCCTTTTAGAGAGCACGGGTCCTCCTATTTTCTATGTCTTGTTTCCTTTGTAAGGGGTGATGACTCTACTTGTACAAAGTATGGCTAAGATAGTTTGGGATTCCAGTCTTCCGGCTGCCTGAACCAGTTTTCTGACATGGGTTAGAAACATTTTGACCTGAGCCTTAGTCATCTCCTCTGTAACATGGAGTTAATGGGGTTAGGAGGGGTGGTGGAGAATGATGAATGGGGAGACATTAATCAAGATGCCTTGTATTCATAAACTGCCTTGTTGAATGGCAACTCCTTCGTACAATTACTTAAAGATAACAAAAAACGAGGATGGGATTTTATAGTACTTACAATTAGAAGGGAGGAATTAGTTAAGTCGACACGCCATGTTTACTATGAAAACATTCACTGTTTTGCTCTCTAAGTATTAATTGAGCAACCACTATGGGCTGAGCCCCTTATGTGCTGGAGATAGACCCTGTCATCATGTCTTCAACATGAAAGGGAAGTGATTTATGATTGGCATACAGTGTGACAGGTGTTACAACATAAGAACCGGGTGTTCTGGGCCTAATAGGGGAGTCACCTAGGTGACACCCCTAACTGGGAAGTTGTCAGTAGCCATCGGAGCAGGCCTCCTGGAAGGAGTGGCGAGTCTTGAAGGTGAAGAAGTCAGCTAGGTGGAGAGAGGGGCCACAATGAGCAATCACACAGAACTAGGAGAGAGCATGCTCACTCGAAAAATTTGAGTTCTGACAAAACAGAACCGTGAAGGTTTGTAGATGCCAGTTTGCTTTGTGAAAAGATTTGCTTCTTTCTGACAAAATGGAAGGGAGGCATTGATGGATATACCTATACTTAGAAAATTCTAGTAGGGAGTAAGGAGTTCACAGTAACGTGTGTGTGTGTGTGTTGATACTGGGGCTTGAACTCATGAACTGGGCACTGTCCTGTCCCTTAGTTTTGTGGCTCAAGGTTGGCACTTGACCACTTGAACCACAGCTCCACTTCTGGCTTTCTGATGGTTAGTTGGAAGTAAGAGTCTCATTGACTTTCCTGTCCAAGCTACTTGAAACTGTGATCCTCAGATCTCAGGCTCCTGAGTAGCTAAGATTGCAGAAGTGACCCAATGATTCTTTTTTTTTTATTAAAAAATTATTATTATAAAGGTGATGTACAAAGGGGTCACAGTTACATAAGTCAAATAAAGAGTACATTTCTTTTTGGACAATGTTACTCCTTTCCTCGCTCTCTCCCAGTTTTTCCCTCCCATCACTCACCAGTGTATAGTTCACTTTCAACATAGTGTCCAGTGAGTACCACAATGTATCTTGTCAACGTGACGTTAACACAGGTTTGGGGCCTTCAAGGCTGACCTTAAGCCCAACCAAGGGCGCTTTAACTCACCGAACCCACCTTTAATTTCATGATCAGTCGAGGATAACATGTATTTATCTTTATATCCCAACTAAATGGGATTGTGTGCTCAAGTCTGAAAAAAAAAAAAAAGTGTTACAAAATGGGCATTAAAAAAGCCGTTTTTGGGGCTGAGCCTGTGGATGAGGATATAAAGGTTACTGCTAGGCCTTTGTCTTCTTCCCTTTCTTCTCTCAGTGGTGTAAGTAGTAGTAGTAGCAGCAGCAGCAGCAGCAGCAGCAGCAGCAGCAACAACCCAAAGCAAGGGACCCCGAGGATGTCCAGCAACCTCCCCAAAGCGATGATTAAAAAGCAGCCGCACTTAAGCCCGGCCCGGGCGGGAGAGGCCGCGCATGCTCAGTGCGCAGGGCGGCGGAGGCGGAGGCCGGGATGCTCCAGGGCGCATGCTCAGTCTCCGCATCTGCTCTCCATCCAGCGCCGCAGCCGGAAAACCGCAGCGGCGGCGGCGGCGGCGGCGGAGCGACGGTGCCGGGCAGCCCGAGGGTGGGGAGTGGGTGAAAAAAACCAAAAAAGAAATATACGGGGACGTGCGCGATCGGGAGGGGACCCGAGAGCTGGAGCTTTGCGGCCTCCGGCAGGCCACGGCCTTGGGCGTCCCAGCGCGGAAGGGCCCGGAGGCCGCGGCGGCGGCGGGGCCGGGCCGCCGGGGCCTGCCGGGATTTTGACGTTTTTCCTCAGCCTGCGCCGCCGGCGTCCGGGGCCGGGCCGGGCCGCGCCGTCCGGGCCGCCCCCGCCCTCACCCCGCCCCGCGCCGCGCGCCCCCCTGCGGCCGGAGCGGCGCCCCGCTCCCGGGAAGGGAAGGAAGCGAAGCGAAGCCCGGCGCGCGGGCCGCGCCATGGCGGGCACCTTCTCCACGACGTGATCGCCGCGGACCGGCCTCCCCCTCTCCGCCTTCACCATTCCGGGCCTCCCAGCCTCCGCCTCCCCCCACCCCCGCCCGGGGCCCCGGGTGACTAAACGGAGACAAAGGGGGAGGCGGCCTCGCTGACACGCGCGCTCGCAGGCCCGGGCGGCGGCGGGGGGCGGCGCGGACGGACGGACGGACGGACGCGCGGACACGGCGCCGCCACATTCCTATGCCCGGGGGCCGCGGCGCCCGCGGGCGGCGGCGGGCTCTCCGCGCCGACAGCTGAGCCGCTGCTCCCCCCGGGTCGGCAGCAGCCGGGCGGGCCTCGCCCCGGCCCCGAGGGCGTGAGGTCGCCCGTCCTCCCCGGCCGTCCCCGGCCGCACCATGTGAAGGGGAGCGGCCGCCCCTCCCGAGGAGCCGCCGGGGAAAGATGGGGGATGCCGCGGACCCCAGGGAGATGCGAAAGACGTTCATTGTCCCAGCCATCAAGCCCTTCGACCACTATGATTTCTCCAGGGCCAAGATCGCCTGCAATCTGGCCTGGCTGGTGGCCAAAGCCTTCGGGACAGGTAGGTGCGGGCTCCCTCCCATCCACCTCCCATGCGGCGGCGGCTGCCGGTGCTCGGGTTCCTCTTCCCGGGAGCTGACGGGAGGTCCGGGCGAGGAGAGCGGAAGGGGGCACGGGCGAGCCGCGGCGGTTTGCAGGGAAGGGCCCCGGGGCGGCCGGGGACGGGGGGGGGGGCGGCCCCCACATTTCTTTTTATTGGCCATCCACAGTGGGGTTGGCTTTTCCCGGGTGAGCATTTCTGCCGCGTGTTTAGTCGGTGGTGGTGGTGCTTGCCTCGTTTGCTGCAGACATTTCTCCCTCCGTCATAATTACTATTCCGCTCCCAAGACATCCGAGTTGGTTTCTGGACTGTCGGGACAAGGTTGGATGGCCCAGATTGGAGCTGTAGTGATTCTTGACCATTGTAATGGTGGCCACATACTCAGGCGCCCGAGAAGACCCGGCGGCTTGTTTGAGTCTTGCTGCATTAATCTGGTTGTCATTCTTTAGTCCTTTATCAGCCTTCTTAGGTGAAGAAGAACATCTCAGGTTCTTATTAAAACCAATTTAGGTTGAGACTAGGGTGTTATTTTCACTTCATATTATCAGTGAGGCGTATTCCTTTTTTTTTTCAATGGCTTTAAATTAAAAGAAATCCTAACTTTGGGATTTTTTTTTAGTAGAAGAGTTGTGTGTGTGTGTGTGTGTGTTTTCAGGGCATATACTATTGACACAAATACCATAGTAGTGTGGCAATTAAAACATACTCCTTCCATTATCCCATGTGCAGGGAAACAGGAAAAGGGCCTTCTAGTTCTTAGCTGTTGCATTAGAAGCCCTTGTTGTGGATAGCTAAAATAAATAAAAATCAATAGAGCTGGCTTTTATGAGAAGATGCTCCTGTGATTTATTGTGCTCATTTGTAAGAGTAGTTTTGCCAAGTTTTCTGTTTGGTAATGGATTAATTTTGGATACATGATTTATTGAAAAGTTCTTAATATTTACAATTTTCTTTAGATGCTTAATATGGGTTGCTTTGTTTTGAGAATGGCTGATTTCCAATTTTAGGATGGTGAAAATATGTGAGCAAATGTCTAGTTCAGTTTTACTGTTTGCACTTATATGTAGCTCAGTGTTTTCAGGACTTGTATATCCTAATAGATGAAGTCCACTGGGATATTATTTGAATGAATTAGTTTTTGGGAAAACTTCACGTGAATGTGATTTTGAATTCTCACAATGTGGTATTGAACTGGCATGAATAAACATGTCTTGAAATAATTTAAGTTTTAAAGATTTTTTTTCAGAACTAAATATCTAGAGTAACACAGGAGGAAATTATTAATATTTTGTTTTTAATTTTCTACTGTTGTAAGCAATGAACATAATAAATGTATTTTGGTTTTAATTTAAGCAGCATACTGAGTCTACTGTGCATTTGAGGGTAAGTGAAAGCTAGTTAAGTATTTAGGAAAGATGGAAATTTATTCAGCAATGTGGAAAATAATGTGGAGAAAATGGAAGGCAGAGAACCAGAGAAATACTTTCTTTCCATCTCAGACAGAAAGGTATTTACAGTACAGAAGCCAGAATTTTGCTGTGCATGCACAAAAGAAATGAAGCAGAAAATGGCCTACTTTCTGAATATGTGTCAGACCAGTTTCTAGATCCTGGACCACTTAAAGAGGCACATTGAAGGTACTTGAGAAGAAAGGAAGTGAAAGAGATACACTATCGTTGGAAGCTGACCTCTGCCAGGCACTCTGCTAGATGCTTTGCCTGAAATTTTGCATTTGGGATGCACAACTCATAGTGTGCTGTCCATTTAAACAGAATGTGTTCGCCAGGGCACAGAGAAGCTGGACAGCTCTCTTACACTAACACTGTAAGTACTGAAGATAAGTTTACAGTTGAGGTCTGACTGCAAAAGGACAAGGTATTAGTAGAGGTGGGACAGGCCTGTTTTATGTCCACTGCTCTAAATGTATTACTTCATTTATTTCTGCAGCCTCCCTGTAAATACTGTACTTCTTTTTGCAGATGAAGGAACAGATTTAGAGAGATTAATTTGCACGATGTTAAACATCTGGCTAGTGGCATATTCTGTGTGTCAACTTAGGTCTTCCTGACTCTGAAGTCTTTGCTTTTTACTGTATACACCATTCCACCTAGTAATCCTTTTATATGCAAGTGTGAAAAATGTGCACATAGTACAGGTTAAAGTCTAGTTTTCTTTAACGATTGGGCAGATCTTAACCTACTTTTAGATAGTTTAGATGAATATTTTTGGTTACATTTGCCTTGGCAGCAATTGGAATGGACAAAAAGGTTATTATTAAGAAGTTTATATTTCTACATGTTGCTTATGTCTTATCAACAAAACATAAGTATATCGATAGTATCTTACAAAAAAGGTGTTTAATTTTTGATGTATTCATTTGCTGCTGATACTTACACATCAGAAAGGGTTAATAGATATTATTAGTTAGTTGTACTGAAAAACTTAGCTCAACTTTCAAGATTTATTACAATCTTTCATTTAACAATGCCATATAGGGCTTTTCAGTCAGAAGCCTAACTTTTCACATGTAAAACAGTTTAGAACCATATGCTGCAAGTCATTTAATGTGCTGCTAGTGGGTTTAGAATGAGCTGATGGAGCTATAAAGCACTAGCATTGTGACACCTAGAAAGTGGATTTGATAATGGAGTATTTGCTGACTTTGGAATCTTATGTCAGGAACTTTGAATACCTCTTTACCCTAAAAATATTCTACATAGCCCAGGTCTTAATAGCTTGTTTTGTGCAAAAGTGTAGCTACAGTTTGGATCAAATGAAGAGTAAGTGTATGTAGATAAATTTGCAACAATAACTTGATACTCGTTACTTTAAGTAAATTGCAAAAGAGGAGGAAGTTAAACTATTCATGGGGCCTCTATTATTATATTTGAAGAGCATAACACATTTAAGCAATGGTAAGCCTGAGTTTGCTTTAAATGTTTTCTCTTCAGTCTTTTGGGGAATAGAGTAGACAATTTTCCTTATTCCTGAATTCAGAGTTCTTAAGGCAGTAGTCAAGTCTTACTTTCCGGTATTTCAACCTTACCCACTTACCTTTTACCTTTTTATATTCCATTTACTTTAGTGATACAAAATAATCTGCCATTATAAATAGACCTTGTTACAGTTCTTTGTATTGCGTCTTTTCAAAGTCCTACAGAAGATCTGACTCTTAGTGCATTTATGAGGCTTGTGGGAACAGGAGGTAAAGACTGAGTGAGTGTCAGATTGGGACTAATATTGTAAGTCTAGGCATAGGTGAAAAGGGCAGAAGTAACAGCAAATCAGCTAATAATTTGTTGAGCAGTTACTGTGTGTCCAGCACTTCACAGAGTCTCAAATTCAATCCCTTTTCCAAGCATATGAGGTGGAAACTCTTAAATCATTCTGGTTTTACTGATGAGGAAAGAGAGGCTCAGGGGTTTAGGCACTTATCCAGACCCACCCCACTAATGGAGCTGGGATCAGAACCAGGGAAATCTGACTTCAGTCTGTTTTCTTATAACTACCGTTCTGTTAGAAGGCAAAAGAATGGAAAAGAAGCTTTGCTTCTTTTGTTTTAGAAATTTAATCCTTCGTGTTTCTAGAGGACTAAATTTGGGGTACATTAGGGAGTCATTTAAATGAGAAGAGACTATAAGAGAGGGTAAAGTCAGTTGAGGCTTTAGGAGGGTCAGTTGTGGCTGGAGGACCAGTTGTGGTGCCTCTTGACAAAGAGAGACCTGGAATGGAAGGCAGCTTTGGTTTTGATAACCTCCACCTTTCTGTGTTGGCCACATTACCTTGTCTGAGAAATCCAATGAAATAGTTATAAATGTAGGTCTGCAGGATGTCTGAGAGGTTGAGTCTAGAAATAATCATTTGGTAGTCTGTGTTCAGCAGTGTAATTGAAATTGGAAGTAGATGTGGCTGTAAAGGGAGAGAAGAAATTCCAGACAGAATTTACAGTAGTGACTAGTTAGAATAGTGGGGAAAGGCCAAAGAAAAAGAGGCAGAATTAGAGCAGTTAGAGTCCAGACAAGAATTAAGAGGTGGGATACTGAAGCCCAAGGAATTTCAGGGGGAGTGGTCTGCCTGTCAGATGCTGTAGTTAAGTTTAAGCCATGCCTGTCTTTTAATGAAGAGTTTATGTTTAGTGGGATGAGAATGATAAATGTTTAGGGTAAGATCTCTTCACCTCAGTAGTCTGTCAGAGAGAGACCTGTGCAGAGGAGAAAGTGTTTAAGCTAGACCTTGAGGGGAGAATGGAAAGCACACGTTGTAGGTGCGGGGGGGGGGGGGGGGGGGAAGGTGGGGGGGCATTGTGTGTGGGGGTGGGTAGAGAGCGTAGAGTGAGACACCAGGTAGAATCAGTGGAGCAGCACGGACCAGTAACATAGTGAGAGATCAGGCTTGAAAGGTCACTTGCCACATAATAATGTGTAAGGCGCAAGCCACCAGTGTGCATAGCTTTATTCCCATGTTTTTGTTTTTGTTTTTTGTTTTTGAGATGAAGAAATGGAAATATTGGGGCTGGGAATGTGTCTTAGTGGTAGAGTGCTTGCCTAGCATTCATGGGTCCCTGGGTTTGATTCCTCTACCACATAAACAAAAATTTAATTAAAAACATATAAAATAAGTTGCCAAAAAAGAAATGGAAATGTTAATAGATGTTTATTTTTCCATGCCGTATTTTAAAAGTTACTTTGAAACTGCCTTGTTCTCTCCTTTTTTACACCATTTTCTTTCTCTAAAAGAACTGCATCCTGATTTGAAGCACTTTAGGCCCTTGAAATAAAATGATATTTGCAATAACTTTACATATATGTATATCCATAAAGTGTGTGTATATATGTGTGTGTGTGTGTGTGTGTGTGTATGTATATACAGACACATATGTTACGTATATATTCATTTGTCCGTAGTAAAGGAATTTCAAAGTAGATTTATTTTTCTAATAGCATACCATTTGAGCTACGCCT